AATACATGACTGCCTCCCTTTTCAACCACCCCAAATGACTAAATCCATGATCTAAGGTCAGAGTGAGGATGCTTAAAATGTTGTCAATGTCTAGTTTATTTGAGCTGTACATGGGCAGCGTTATGCTTCTCTGCAATCTTCAGCATTATCAGTCCTCTTTCCCCTTCTTACCTCTAAGGCAGTGGTTCTCAACCTTCTGTTCCTTTAAATACAGTTCCTCATGTTGTGACCCAACCATAAAATTTTCGTTGCTACCTCATAACTGTAATGTTGCTACTGTTATGAATCGTAATGTAAATATCTGATATGCAGGATGGTCTTGGGCGACCCCTGTGAAAAGGTGGTTCGACCGCCAAAGGGGTCGCGACCCACAGGTTGAGAACCGCTGCTCTAAGGTAATATTTAGCTTCCTTTGATACCTGAATTTGAGAAGCATGAAGGTCCATGGTAATAATATGATCTGCACCTGCTACGGAAAGCATATTTGCAACAAGCTTGGCTGAGATTGGAGCCCGGCTCTAAATGGAGGGGACAAAAGAAAAAAAACAACAAAGAGCCAATTTGAGAAATAATTCATTTGCACAAGAAGCATTTATTTATTGTGTACCTACTATGTTTAAGGCTCTTGCTATCAGGAAATTCAAAGGAAGTGACATGGTTACTGACTTTTAAGTACATCACAATCTAGCACAATTAAATGGAATGTCACTTTGCTAACTCAAGATACATATTAAATGAAAGAAAATGCCTTCCTACCTTTCATTTTCTTAACTTAATGTACAGATTTTTAGCTATTAGTATTCAAGCGTTTCCAATGCTCAATTTAAATTAGACAATATTTTTCAAAATATTTTATTAAAATCATTTAACACATACACACTCAAACCTGTATAACATCCAACATGTAATCCTACAGTTTATTTTATAAATTACACCACTCCCTTACTGATCTGAAGGTCAACCTTCTAGCAATCGCAAACCCTTAAATAATAGGCAAACACACCTGCTGCACTATAAAATGGCCAAGACTATGCCCTTTATTCTGTACTCTGGAGGAGCACTCTACTTTATTGGAATTAAAACACCTGGCCTTTTTTTTTTCAGTTTCTCTGCCATTTTTTAAAATTTATTTTCATTGTTAAGGGTATTACAGATGTCCCCATTCCCTCCCATTTGTCCCCCTCTGCCCAGTTCCCACCCTACGCTAAGTGTTTATTGCACTATTGTCTATGTCCATGGGCTATGCATGTATGCATATAAGTTTTTTGGTTAATCTCTCCCCCCTTCCCCCATTCCCTCTGAGGTCTGTCAGTGTGTTCCATGCTTTCATGTCTCTGGGCCTATTTGTTCATCAGTATATTTTGTTCATTAGATTCCTCATATAAGTGAGATGATGTGATATTTGTCTCTCTCTGACTGGCTTATTTCACTTAGTATAATAATTTCCAGGTGCATCCCTGTTGTTTCAAAAGGTAACAGATCCTTGTTTTTTTACAGATGAATATGTACCAGTGTTTGTTTTTATGCACTTATCTATTGATGGGCACCTGGGCTGTTTCCAGAACTTAGCTATTGTAAGTAATGCTGCTATGGATATAGTGGTGCATATATGGCCTCTCCAATGCACTGTATGTAAATTTTGGGCATTGATTACAACAGACAAAATAGACCTGCAAAGTTTTATGTATATACCTTGTCCTTTAATATACCAGATATGGCTAGGTGTGTGTGTGTGTGTGTGTGTGTGTGTGTGTAATGAGACCAAGTATTCATGTAACAGACTTCAAGTTTTATGAAAAGGTCACAACTATAACCTTACTAGGGTCCCAGAGGATCTACAATAGTTTAAAAAATATTATACTCCATGGGAGCTGGTGCTTAGTCTTACTGATATAATTAAATAATAGCAGTGAGCTAACTGAAAGTCACAAATGATGACTAGAACAAAATATACAGTCTACAAATGTGTTGCTTTATACAAACCAATCATATGTCAATTGTTTTAAAGAAAAGGTAACGTCTGAAAGAATGTGTTTTAAAAATCCTCTCTAAATAGGGATATAATGATCAACATAATTTGGTGAACAGGAATAGATCCAGAGACAAATGGTAGGGGAGGGAGTTAGAGAGCAACCAAAGGACTTGTATGCACGCATATTAGCTAGCTGATGATTAAGGAATATTTTTGTGACTTTGGGAAAGTGCTCATGATTCCCCTGATTAAAAACATTTTTTTAAAAATTTAAAGTCTTTATTGTTTAAAATCTTACATATGTCTCCTTTTATAAACATTTTTTAAATAAATGAGATTCTGCTCCTACGTGGGGGCTTGCCCGGGGTGGGAATGGCTGGGGCAGGAGGGTCAAGTGGGGAAAAAGAAGACATATGTAAAACTTTAGAGAATAAATAAATAAATAGCCCCTCTAAATATATATCTGATGGGCAACCCATTTTGGACCTCCTCCCTGCTGCAGAATCCATCTATTTCTCAATAAACTTTGTTTCCCCTTACAGGCATTAATCATGATCAAAAGCTCCATTAGATTGTCATTAATTTCACCACAGCCACTCTGAACGATGTAGACATCCTCTCCACGGACACTTTCGCCAATTTCAACACTACAAACAGGAAAGGGCAACAAAAACAATAGAATTTAAAGCACTATACTTCTACAGACAATAAGGTCTAAAAACCATAGCTTTCTGCCAGTATGCTATGAATGGTTTACAGCTGCCTATGAACAGTTATTGCCTTGGACTTCTGGATGGCCCTTTTTGCAGAAGCAGTTTACTGCCTCAGTTTACTCCAGTGCACTATACAAATATTACTTATTTTTTATATGGGAAATGACAGAAAAATATTGGCTAAAGTACTCACAGGTAATTGAACCATAATTTCAGTAGACAGCCTATATCTCATTTCAGGTACAAGACGTGAATGCAAATTTGATATAGCATCTGTGACTATCACAATCCATATATAACAAAAGTAGAAAGGTCATATAAGGAATGAATCACTTCTGCTCTATAAAGATGCCTTGTACAGAAGACAGTATCACATCTACCATATTGGCCATTCACTCAACAAATATTAAATGTTCCATTGTCAGCCACTGTGCTAGGTGCCAGGTACATATTGAGAAGAAAACACATTTGGTCCTTACCTTCATTCTATGCTAACTATACTCTGGTCGAATTAATAAGTCTTGTTTTAAAAATTTCCACAGGAAACACTGGCCGCTGTGGCTCAGTTGGTTGAGCATCATCCTGTGTACTGAAAGGTTGCTGTTTCGATTCCTGGTCGCGGCACATGCCCAGGTTGCAGGCTCTATCCCCAGTTGGGGGCGTGTAGGAGGCAGCCAATTGATGATCTTCTTTCACATAGATGTTTCTCTTTCTCTCTCTCTCTCTCTCCCTCCACCTTCCTCTCTAAAATCAATAAAACATATTTTGTACATGAAAATTCCATAGGAAATTACTATAATTGTGGGGTTATCATTTACCATAAAATGAAAATGTTAATGTCTATACTTGGTTCATTAACAATAATAACTTAGAGTTTAAAAATAAGCTGTCAGCCTGTGGAATGAAGGATTCTAGGTTCGATTCCAGTCAAGAGCATGTTCCTCAGTTGCAAGTTCAATCCCTGGCCCTGGTCAGACAGAGCACATGCGGGAGGCAACCAATTGGTGTCTCTCTCACATCAATGTTTCTCTCTGTCTCTAGCCCCCTCCCTTCCACTCTCTCTAAAAATCAATGAAAAAATATCCTTGGGTGAGGATTAACAAAAACAAACAAACAAACAAACAAAAAATAAGCTCAGTAATAACAACTCAAAACACCATTTCCCCTATTTATTCTTTAGTTGGGGGTGTTTGTGGATGCACATTTGTATATATGTGTATAGTATGTGTAGACAAGCATAAATCAGAATGGTTGGCAATATTAAGAGAAAAACTTCAATAGGCGATAATTCTATTGCCAGAAAAAACTAATACAGGTGGTAATTATTATTTAATGTTTACTTCTTTCCAATTCAAATAACAATGAAAAGAAACCTAATTTTAAAAAGAATGGGGTTAGTCTATATAGTAAAGCCAGAAAAATAAAAGCAAATCGTAAAAAATCAAACCAGAAATTAGAACAGAGACATTGAGATTCCTGGAAATAAACCCCCTTTAAGCACTAAATGCAATAATTATTTTAGTCTCCTCCCACAACCACAACAAAATTACAACTAAACTATAAAAAATTGATCATTGATAACCTTTGGAAGTCTAGCTAAACAGAAGTCTTATAATTAAGGATATACAAAAGAAGCTGTAAGATTGATAGAAGAAGTGAAGACAAGACACTGAATGGATTGGAGGAGCAGGAGGGCGGAGTCCCGCCCCACACAAGCCTCCCCAGCACAGGAAGAGAAGTGCTGGGAAGAAAAGTCCCCACAATTTCTGGTTGTGAAAACCAGCAGGGATTGTGGCTGAGGAGATTTGTCCAAGTGAGACTGAGGGCTGCTGGAGTCCCAGGGGGTCCTCTTAAAGGGCCTGCACATTAATTTACTTGCTGATGGACTCTGAGTTCCATCACTGGGGCAGCAGCTAGAAAAGCACCAGGGACTAACAGAGAGGCACTGAACTATCTGGCTTAAAGGCGAGGGCTTGGAAGGGAAGCTTTATCCCAGACAGAAGTGCTGTAAGAAGCCATTGTTCCTTCCCCGAGCCTTCCCCCATCCAGCCTGTAGGCATAGGCAGATGCCAAGTCTGAGTCTCCATCAATCAGCTAACAAGGTTGGCTCTGCCCTGGTGATCCCCTGAGATTCTGTCCTACCCAATTTGCAGGCCCACCTGTGGGAGGCCCCCTGCCAGGGAAGGTGCCATGGCTTTCTTTAAGTTATGTTGATTGAACCCAAGGCTTGGGCATAGCCCTACCTTGGGGACATTTCTGGCCAAAAGGTGAGAATGCCTTCAGCTGGACTCTTCAAAGCCCAGGTGCTGGGAATGGGTTTTTATTATGTAAATTCAGTCAAGTACCTGGAATACCTCCCTTATCTTGAGTTTTGGTGAAACCTCCAGATATTAGGGGGAATTGGGACTATAAAATAAACACGCTGCTTTGGGACTTGGTCTTTCTACCTCTCTGCCAGAAGAGGACAGAAGCACACCCAGGCCCAGCTGTACTTTCTATTTTGTGTCTGTCTTTCATTTTCTCAATCCCCAATACACCTCCATTTGAAGGAACGGGTTCAGGTTCAAGCTCTCTTTCCCGTGCGGATCGCAGAAAAGGGAGCACACACCCAGGAACACCCACTCAAGCCACTTCCAAAGGCTTTTCATCAATGACACACCCAAAGGGCAGACTTAGCAGACACAAGAATGCCTCACTAATGTGAGTCCTGCTCCATAGGGTCAGCCACCAAATAGCACCTACACTATAATTATGGCCATTCCTCACAGCCAATCCACCTGATGGTTAATCCCTCCCACTGACTTGCCAAAAGCAATCAAAGCTCAAGTACAACAGAAGGGTACACACAACCCATATAAGGGACACACCTGGAACACCCACTGGGCCTCACAGGACATCCTATATAATAAAGAGGTAATATGCAAATTGACCATCATGCCCTTGTACAAGATGGCCACCCCATGTGCTCACAAGATGGCCACCACAAGATGGCCAGCAGGGGAGGGCAGTTGTGGGCAATCAGGCCAGCAGGGAAGGGCAGTCCTGCACTGGTGGGGTCCCTTGGCCTGGTCTGCACCCTCTTGCAATTTGGGATCCTCGGGGGATGTCTGAGAGCCAGTTTCTGCTTGACAACGGAATGACCAGTCGCTATGACAGGCACTGACTACCAGGGAGCAGACGCTCAACACAGGAGCTGCCCGCAGCCCGCAGACCTCAGGCAAGACAAGGTGGGTGTCAGAGGGAGGTGACTGGTGTGTGTGTGTTGGGGGGGGGGGCAGTGAGCAGGCGGTGCCAGGCCAGCCAAGGTGGGTGCCAGTGGGGGCCCCCCAGATCACTCCACCAGTCACCCCACAGATGAGCCCTGATTGCTGGCCAGGCCTAAGGACCCTACCTCTGCATGAATTTTGTGCACTGGGCCTCTAGTCTACTATATTAGGCCAATCTACCAATGCCAGAAGACATGGCACCTCTACCTAATACATAGAAACAAATACAGGGAGGCAGCCAAAATGAGGAGACAAAGAAACATGTCCCCAAATGAAAGAACAAAACAAAACTTCAGAAAAAGAACTAAACAAAATGGAGACAAGCAATCTACCAGATGCAGAGTCCAAAACAATGGTTATAAGGATGTACAATGAACTTAGGGAAGACGAGATGATCTCAGTGAGATCAACAAACAGATAGGAAACATAAAAATGGAGATAGACTGAGGAGCTCCAGTGGTGCAATCGGTTAGCGCACGGTACTTATAAAAATGGAGATAGACTGGAGAGCACATACAAGAATCAATTAATGAATGCATAAATAAATGCAACAACAAATCCATGTTTCTCTCTCTCTCAAAATAAATAAATAATATTTTTTAAAAATGGGCAGAGAAAACATTTAAAAATTTAGGATTAAGAATATATTATTAGTGGGAATAAACAGTAGATTAGATGAAGCAAAGGATCATATCAGCAATTTGGAAGACCAGGTAGCAGAGAACACCTAATCAGAACAGATACAAAAAGAATCCCCCCCAAATGAGGACAGTTTAAGGGGGCTCAGGACATCAAGCATACCAATATTCACTTCATAAGAGAAGAGAGGGTGCAAGGAATTGAAAATCTATTTGAAAAAGTAATGGAAAACTTCCCTAACCTGGCAAAGGACATACTAGTATTTGTATATAAGTGCAGAAAATGCAGAGAACCAAACAAGATGAACCTAAAAAGGCCCACACACCAAGACACATCATAATTAAAATGACAAATGTTAAAGAGAGAATCTTTTTCTTATTTTTAGACAGAGAGGAAGGGGAAGAGAGAAACATCAATTTGTACTCTAATTATTTGTACATTCACTGTTTGCTTCTTGTATGTGCTTAAACTGGAGATTGAACCTGCAACCCTGGTATGTTGGGAGGATGCTCTAACCAACTGAGCTACCAGGACAGGGCCAAAGAGAGAATCTTTAAAGCAGCAAGAGAAAAGCAGTTAGTTACCAACAAGGGAACTGCCATAAGACTGTCAGCTGATTTCTCAACAGAAACTTTGCAGGTCAGAAGGGATTGGCACAAAATATTCAAAGTGATGAAAAGCCAGGACCTACAACCAAGATTCCTCTACCCAGCAAAGTTAGAATCATTTAGAGGGAAGGACAGATAAAGAATTTCCAGACAAGAAAAAGCTAAAGGAGATCACCACCAAACCAGTATGATAAGAATTGTTAAAAGGATTTCTTTATGAGAAAGAATAAAATGATCAAAAATATGAATAATAGTCCAGGCCAGTTTTGCTCAACAGAGCACTGGCCCCTAAACCAAAGGGTTGTGAGTTCAATTCCTGGTCAAGGGCATGTACCTCTGTTGCAGGCTCAATCCCTGGCCCCAGTTGGGGTGCAAACGGGAAGCAACCAATCAATGTGTCTCTCTCACATCAATGTTTCTC